AGAGAGAGAGAGAGAGAGAGAGAGAGAGAGAGAGAGAGAGAGATTGTGATGTCAGGCATCACAGACTACAGGGACCTGCATGCTCAGCTCTGGGAGGAAGTAGAAGCGAAGGGTCAGGGTCCCTGGGAAACAAGAGGCACAGGTTTCTCTGGGCCAGGGTGCCCAGTGCTAAGATCAAAGAGATCTTAAAGCTCTTTAAAGGAAAGTTCAACCCTGGACGGTCAGAGTTGTGACATCTAGCCAAATTGATGGTCAGGGAGACGCCAGGGGCTGCAGATGTGCCAGGCTGGATGAGTGGTAACATAAGAAGCAAGTGGCTGGTGACTTAGGGAATCAGAAACCTTTTCCTCCTGGTCCGGCACAGCTGAGCCCTAACACTTGGAGACAAACACCTTCAGTGACAGCCCTGGTCAGTGTCTGTGAGCTAACAGCAATGACCCAGAACTGGGCTATCCCCCGAGGCAGCCCGGCCAAGATGCTGGGTTTCCAACTCCATGTGGCTCCCACCCATGAGCCATTTGGTAGAAGTCACCAGACATGTGCAAGGGTCACCCCCAGTCTCAGTCTTGAAGGTTTGCCCAAGACCACCAGGAAGCTAGAGCTGTGCATGGTTAGGCTAACCTTGCAGTCCTTCCTGCCCAGAGCTCAGACCTCCAGGTACACAGCAGGACGGGGCAAGCAGACCCCACACACCCTCCTGCGGCTGCAACCTGCCCACTGTCTCCAAGTCCTTCCCTGGCATCCCTCACCTCCCTGCTATTTTTAGCTGGGGATAGGGAGGAGGGCTGGGCTGCAACCTAGAGTAGGTAAAATATTTCATTCATTTCCAAACCTCAGCAGCTCCGACCCAGAGGAAGGGCCAAGTCCTTAGGAAGGAAACTGATTCTGAAACATCGGGGGAGGTAGACACAACAAGTCATAGGTGGGGTCACACCACGGAGACCCACCACACAGCCCTCGGTAGCAGAGCGGGAGCCAAAAGGAAACTTGCCCTTCATCTTTCCTTTGCCCTTAGAGGGGGGGGGTTGGTGCCCCTTTCCAGTGGCCCCCTCCTCAGTGGTGGATGGTCTCAACTCTGCCTGCTCTAGCTATGATGAAAGCCCCAGGCAGGAGCCCCTCAGTCCAGCCACTGCTCCCCCTCCCCAGGCTGCAATGACGAGGAGATTCGATTGTGATTTGGATTTCAGAGGCTAGGAAAGAGGGGTGGGGGAAGGCAAGAGGGACGGTACCAGAGTGCCTGGGTCCCACCCAGCTCCTCTGCAAGGGTCTTCTCCGAAGGGGACCCTTGGACCTTCACATGGGGATGGAGAGAGAAAGGTGACTTGGGATCTGGGGGATGAAGATGAGGCCACAAACTCCGATCTCCCGCCTTGGGCCCCACTCCCAGCAGGTCCAGTCCGCCTTTTACAAAGTAGGGCGGGCTAAGTCCTGGCTGGACTTAGCTCACAGAGGACTCCAGCTGCGTCTCCACCCCTTACTGAGTGACCTTGGACAAGTCCCTAAGTGCCCAGCCTCAGTTTCCTAAGCTTTCCAAGGAGAGTCTTCCTAATACTAGTGACTGAAGACTCTGGACTTTGGAGTCGTCCCCCCGCCTCCCCGCACCCCGCAAGGAGCAAGCGCCCTAAGCCCCTCGAGGGGACCCGGCGGAGGGAGCATCATAGGCGCAGGGGTGCGGATGGCGGCCGCGGCGGGAGGAGCTGCCCGGCCGCAGCGCGAAGGGGTGGGCTCGCGACCCAGGACCCACGTCCGCCCCTCCCCGGGCGACCCCATCCCGCCCAGCCCCAGGGCGCGGAGCCTGGAGGAGGCGAGGGGGAGGAGGCCGCGAGGGCGCACCGCGGGCGGGCGCACTTACGCCGGTGCTGCGGTCCAGCGTCCCGCCGCTGGCGGCCGACAGCCGGGTGGTGTTGAGGCCCACCAGAGAGGGCAGCGTCTGGGACATCCAGTTGGTGATCATGGCCATGGTGCTCAGCACGACCCCGATCTTCAGCAGCGGCACCGACATCGCGCCTCGAGTCGCCTCCTGCGCCCGCGCCGCGCTGGCACCGGCTCCCGCGCCCCGGGCAGCCTCAGGCGGCGGGCACCGCGGCGGGCAGGGG